GGCGCTTCCCTGCAGCCATGTCCGCCCGCCGAGGGATCTGCCCAGGCTCCGCTTGGCATGGTTTCACATGAAAACTAACTTAGAGCCAGGCTGGGGCAAGGGTAAAAGCCTGCAAACTCAAGGCGTACTTTTTAAAGCTAAAAAGACGAGATGAGCTCTTGCCCATCAGCAGACCACCAAAGCTCCCCAGGTGAAAGGCGAGATAAATACTCTGACATTTCTTTTTAGGAAATAAGGTAATCCTGCTCCTGTCACAGAATCAGTTCTTGCAGTCAGTTTAAGAGGGAAGCTTCAGGACTGTTCGGGGCATTTTGAAAACAAGCACAGCCCTTCAGCTGCTGATACCCCCTTTTCCATCGTGTTTCCTCAAACTGCCGGCACCGCGCAGTGAGACTTTGCATCTGTCAAAAAGCGAGTGAGAATTATGACCGAGGAGAGTATAAGCCGTACACACACCCTGGAAAACAGCCAGGAAAGCACTGCACATGCATCTCGATGAAGATGGGTGTCAGCTTTATTACAGAAAAGGGACACTGCTCCAACTCTGTCCTTTCTCAGAGCACAGGTGTTCTTGCTTGGAAATTTTTTTCTTTCAAAGTCCAATTTGCATAAGCCCTGAGGACATAATTGCTTAAAGGTCTGAAACATGAGGTTTGCACATAGAGGGGAAAATATTTACTAGACCAGCTGATACAGACCAAGCAAGGAAGCTTGAAAGCAGAAGCCTGTAAGGAACCCACGCTGCTGCAGACTAGTCAGGAAAAAGGTGCCCCATTCCCAGTTGTCCTTATCTTTGAGTTTGGACAAAGCAGCATTTTCAACTTGAAAACAACATTCCTTCTCCTGGCCAAGGACTGCACGTGGTTCACAGCACTCGGCTCCGTGCCGTGAGGGTCCAGCGTCCGATCCCCAACCCAAGGGAAGATACTCCAAACCGTTACAACAACAGAGAGCTTTCTGGCAGGATGCCTCCACCTGAGACACTTCTGGATTTAATCCTAACATAATATTCTTCCTACCATAACACAAATCAAAAGGTTTGTGCAAAACCGCATTCTTTTTTATGGTGACTATAATAAGTAAGCTATTAACAGAACACAAATGAACTCCCAAGCACTACAGATTGTCAGGCTTTATCTTACCTAACTCACAGCAAATGTACCATCCCCGTACTTATGTATTACAGAGAAGGCACATTTCTTATGATGCCTGCTAGTTTTGTTGCAAAACTGTTCAATGGCATACATTTTTCTGATTTGTAATGCCCAATGTCTGTTTTCAGGAAAAAGTCTAGTAAAAAAATGCATTGTTTTGCATCTATTCAAAAATCCTGGACACATTAGAAAAGCTGTCTTTGTTAGGGAAAAAGCTGAAGTTCAGCGAAGAGGAGGATATGCGAAACACGAGTCCTTTGTAGCACCCGTGAATAAACACCAAAACTCGGTGGTCATTTGTGCATCCCCTCCCCAGACTTCAGTCACGCTGGGGAAGCTCCTTCACAGCAAGAGAAGGAGCGAAAGTGGATGTGGACTGGAACAAAGAGGCAACACCAGGACCTTCACCAAGACCAAGGTTTCCACTCGTATAATCCTGACATCCTCACAGCTACGACATTCTGCGTATTCAGCAGCGCAAAGATGAGGCAGCAGAAAACATGACAAGCATTCAGGTCAGGAGCGCAGGCTGAGGTCGCACGGGCAACTTTAACCTACACCTGTATTTGGGATGTGTGACTTTGCCATCTTTGTTTTCTCAACGTGGCTGCAGTTGAATGTTTTTATTTAAATATACGACCACCTGAAGCAGCAAACAGACATTTTGGTATTATGCATATCTCAAAGGCCTACTCTAAGTGATCAAACTTGCACTAATTGTTACTGTGATATTTTTTCGCTAATTAGAACAAGCTTTTGTGGTATGAAAAAAACAACATGAAAGGCAGGAAGATTTATCTGCCTCAGATCATTTAAACAACACTTAAGAACTCCACATTTTTCAGCTTCAAAGTAGTTAAAAGTTGTTAACTAATGATTCCTTCCAGCAACGCTGCAAGATAAGCAGATATTTTTGCCGCGTTTTTACCGATAGGAAAAAGGAGACATTGCCATCCCTAGGCCATGCAGGGAACCTGGGCGAGAGCCAGCTCCAGAACACGGTAGCTTTTGGGCTGCCAATTCTGTATGGTCAGGCCACACCTCTCTCTTAAATGTTAAGCAATAAACACTGAGCCACGGGCAGAACCCGGATAAAAATAGCATGCAACGCAAGGCAGCCAGTCAGTCCTTTACTTTCAGGCGTTACAGCTTTACATGATTAATTGTCAACAACAACCTTCATTTGTCTTGGTCCAAAACCAGACTGTTGAGCCAGCACATTTAATAGGTCCGATATCACTAATTCACGCTGTACTATTTGTGCTGCTTTAGGAGATCACACCGAGGAGGCACAAAACCATAAAAATGCCAGTCCGGCCCCAAAGCAATCCTTGGTGGCTCATCACACACACAAATGAAATTATTAGAAGATATAACCATCTTAAAGACTCCTTCAAGATGTCCAGCTTGCAGAGCTGACACCCCAACACTGCTAGTCTGTCAGCCTGAACGAACCATAAACCAGTCCTGTCACCAGCAACCCCACCTGGTCTCGCACACCAGCTGCGTATCGAGGGAACAGACCGCTGCAATTTTTATCGTTCAGTTCATGACATGGCAGAGAACACAGCAGCCACGGAAGCAGTTGAGCAACTTCCAACACAGCTGAAAAGCCTGTGTTCTTCTATGATATCATTTATAACTGAATTAGTATCTAATATTTAAGGTTTCATTACAAAGAAAATAATCCATTTTGCTCAAGGAATCACATTCAGGAACTGATTTTTAGACCAGGACGTAGCAAACTGTAGTCAAACTCTGTTCTCAATATGTCCAGTCACCTTGAAAGCCAAATATTTAGAATTACCAAATGGCCAACAACAACAAAAAAACCCCAGTCCCCCCAAAAAGGCATCAGATATCTTCTTCAGGTAAAAGCAACTTAAAAGTCTGCAAAATAACTGCAACTGATATTTAAAATGTTTCAACCCTAGATGTATTGGGGACCTTTGAAAGCACATAGAAGAGAAATAAGAGGGTACTGGAAAGCAAGGGGAGGATGCAGACCTAGCAGTCTGGGTTGCAGCTTCTAATAGGCAGGGCTGCCCATCTTGCCCCAAAGTTACTGAAAAACTTCAGCAGAGAGGGGGGAAAAGAAAAAAGGGGGTGTCGAGTGGTATGCAGAGCACACCTTACCAACAAAGATAAATGGGAATATTGCCAGAACACAGGGATAAATACATCTTATTCATCACAGAATAATGAATAATGACCACCATTCCATGAAAAGTTTAGTTTATGAGTATTCTCAAATTGATTTCCATGTGCAACAGAGGAAAAAAGTTAGCAGCTTACTATTACCCGTACATAGCTGTAACTCCTTCCCTCCCCTCTTCTCATATTTGAGTGAAAGTATAAGAACAATTAAGTTACTGTAGCAGCATTTTCAATTCATTTAAAAAATAAGCGACGTTCCTCTATTTTCTGATACCTTGGCCTTAATTCAAAGATATGGGACTTGCCCGTAAGAAGCAATAGATGTCTTATGCTGAAATTCAGAAAGCAAAATACACTGAAAGGGTGGGCTTCTTTATTCAATTTAAAAATCACACAATACAGTGGCCTCCCAACTCTCACAAATCCCGTGTGCATTTTTAAGTCCATGCAGGCATGAACACACTCAGTCCACTGCAGTTGGATTCAATTACACTTCAGGGAGGCAAGGGAAAAACACAACAAGCCGCAAGATTTTAAGTGAAATCTGTACAAGGTGTACCAAAACATTTCAGTGCCAGTTCGAGTCACTTAACTACGACCGAGCGACCAGAACAAACAGCGTTTCTATTCACAAGAGAGAAGGGTTAAGGCTGTTGGTCTAGTAATGCTGTCGATAGGCATCTTCTGCCAGAATTTAAAAGAAATTAAAGCCCAGAGAAAAAACTGATTGGTTTTAAAGTATTAACTTTATTAATAAATATACATCCATATGATGATGTAAATACAGATCATGAACACTACTCCATTCCCATACACATAATTGCACATGAGTAGCTCAAGTTCATGGACATAAAAACATACACAGTATCTAATCAGGCTTTTTACAGCAGAGGAGGGGGTGCTGATACAAGCTATTTAATAGATTACTGTTTCCCCCAAAGTAAACCTGTGGAAAAGGAAATGATGAAAGATTAAAGTATCAGAAAGTGGTTCAAATTTCAGAATACAGATTTACCTATTTGGAAAAAAAAATCACAAGGAGAGAGGTCTAGTCTCTACTAAGGTCATAAATATATTTAAGCAGTGTTAAAATATACGCATTAAAATAGAGAAGAATAAACTTCTTTTGTGGTCAGAAATGAAGTCTGCAGTTCAAAGTATTTATGTTTGTCATCAACTGTTTAAACTGTCAACTCTAAGGATAGCGTGAAACATTATTATACATATAACAAAGAATAGCAGAGTCACAGCTAATGAAACCATCAGACAAATGACTTCACATTGCTCTGCCTTTTAAAGCTCTTCAAAAATGGGGGAGGGACTTAAATTCTGATCTGAATTACTCTGTGTACTGTAGTTCCAAGTAATTCTTTTCACAGACACATCACTTTTCACCGACAAGGCTTGGTTTTGTCCTGACTGAACTCTTAAGATCTTTCAGACAAAATTAAAATATATTCATTCAGAACAGAGATCTTTCATGGCTCTTGATACATAGTTATTTTGATTAAACTAAATCCGAGCTATAAAGAACATTGCTTTAATGACAAAGCTAACTGCTGATTTTAAAAATACTATCTTTGACATCGAAGTTAGCCACTTCTGATGGTATCTGATTTTTTCTGTCAAAACATGGTGCTAGCATCTTGAATATGTCCAGTGCAAGACTTTATAGTAGCAAAATTATTTGGTTTTAAAGTTTAAGTAAATTTAATCAGAAACTGAATACTAGTTACTATATGTATATTAAACAGTGAACTTGTGTAGCATCATTAAGGAATAATAGCAAGCTAATACATTTCATTTATGTATAAATAAGACGTTGGAAACTTGGTAATTAAAAGAAATTATTAAAAAACAAACTTGACATGTAGATCTTCTGAACAGTGTTAACACACAACAGTGATCCTAGCTTATGAATAGTTGAATTATGATATAGAATATAAAATAAGCAATTTACCTTACAAGTAACGTTTTCATACTACGGGGGGAAAAGGCCAGTTTTCCCATCGGTGCTAACACAGTTTAGGCATTAACATGCTGCTT